GCAGAGGGTAATTGCAAAATGGGATTTTCTTAGACGCTATTTACTGCAGATTAGATTTGATATATTATTTAGGTTAGGATATAAAGACTTGTGAAGTGAGAAGGAGTTATTTAAGTTGGAAATTATATTAATGCCAGAACAGTCTCATTTGTAAGATAGGGCTAATGTGCCTACCTCATAGGGTCATTTTGAAGATGAGTTAAGATAATATTATTTGAAAAACTTCAGAACACTATACAAATACATACAGACTCTCATTATCATTAAATATATGTATCATTTTGATACAGTATTAACTTTGAGTTTTTCATCCTTTACCTTGAGGATGTTGCTAACAATAATTATTGTCCTTTAATTCATCTAAAGAGACTGATGTGTAAACTTTACTTGCTTTTCCAAATAAAGATGTGATTGGTTGTTTACAGCACTGTCAATGTTTATTCAAGTCTACTTCTTAGATTTCATGTCTCTCCAAGCTTCTGCTTTAAAGGCTTTTCTTTCTTAGAGCCTTGTAAACAAGACTTGCTGTCAGGCAGTGTTTTTTTCCGCCAGCAATCCACAGCTCTGCCACTATATTTGAAGTTTGGCTTCAGTGGATCTTTGAAGACTGACTTCATCCTCCCGGCTTGCATAGGTCCCTCTCCACCTCATCACATAGCTGCTGCACAGGAATCTTGCTGTCAGTCTGTCTCTGCACATGCCCTGTCTGGCCAAGCTGCATGGCTAGAAGCATCCCTTCCAGGCTGATACCACTGTCTTGCGGACAAAATATCAATAAATTTGAGCAGTCAGAAATTTGCTCCCATCTGAAGTAAATGATCTTGGTGACACCTGGAAGGTAAAGTTGTGCTATAGCAGAGAGTTGTTTTTGTTTTTCTCTTTGGGCTGGAGTTGTTGTTTTTTTTTTTTTTTTTTTTTTTTTTTTTTTTTTTTTTTTTAATTGCAACAACTTCTGATACATTTCTGCTGGAGAGCTGGCTGGCTGCTTCCCCTCATGCCAGGGTGAGGTTCTGTTTTTCCCTCTGGTAAATCTTTAACAATAATAGCTTATTTCTTCAGGTCTGTGGCCTTCAGATATATATATTTTTTTCCCTCAACATCTCATTTCCTCTTCTCATCTTCAGATGAACTTTAATCTTACCTTTCATTCCATAAGGAAGACTTGACTTACCTGTAAGCTAATATTTCCAACTCCAAACAGGCTGCACTCCATCCGAACACAGGTGCTCTTTTTGACAGTTTTGACAGTGAGAAACACCTCCTTATTAGCTAAGCAGCTGCAGTTAGGCCCTGCATTTGTCTCCCTTTCAGAATTGCATTAGGTATATTGCTCCACAAATAGTGCCGCTTCCAGAGGATGCTACCTTTTTATAGATGGCCAGTGTGTGAAAATATTGGGTAACATTTTTTGGAGTAATCTAGAAGCCCTATAGCTGTGCTTCTCAAAGGGGAGTCCTAGCTGCAAGGGCATCATCTGGAATCTGTTACAAATTCAAATCATCAGACTGTATCAAAGGCCAGTAAAATCAGAAACTCTGGAAAAAAGGAACAGTAATCTGGCTTAATAGGCCCTCAAGGTGATTCTGATAAACACCAACATTAGAGAACCATTGCCCTATGGGATGAGGTACAATGAAACCTTAATTAGCTATGGTGTTGATGTTAAATGAATACTCCCTATGCTAGATATTTATGTATCTAAGAACAAATATGAAGAAAGTCATTGTGGAACAGTATACTCATTTTTTCACTCCATAGTCCAGATGTTGAATGTTTTCTAGGTGATAGGAATGATATATTTTTCTCTATCGCAGAAATTTGAGAGAAAAGTAACCCTAATTGCTAGAACAAATGTCCCTACAGTATACAAGGGGCTGAAAACAATGGTAGTGTTTGTCTCATCCATGATTCAACGGAGTTTCAGGTCAACAAGCAGCCCTTGATTCTCACAGTCACTCGTGAGTCAGGCTACTGATGTTCCTGGTAAATATAACACGTGACTTATAAATTTGTCCTAGGAATCTGTATATCAGAATGAGTAAACAGAGTGCTACTTTATGGTAAATTCTGGTAGTGCTGTATCTCATCTCTGGTTGCATTCAACTGGTTAAACTAAATCACGTGGTTAAGCCTCAGAGCCATGAACACTGGGAAATGTGGCCCAGCTGTGTTCCAGGCAGAAGAGGAAACAGATTGGTAAATAGCAGTCTCTGCCACAAGTAACACCTGTTTTCCACATGCATTTGATGTTCTCATTAGAGAATTTTACTTACAAATTATAGACATTTTTATATCAGAAATCTAGAAAAAATAGTTATTATTCTGTTATACTCCCCAATATGGATACAGTTTCTACGTGACATAGAAGCCAAGATGTTCCCCTACAGAAAGGAAGTGGAAACTTTCCAAAGCAGAACGTGTGTCACTGAGTACTAATTCTATTCTGTCCCTTCTGTATGTCTTAATTTGGACTCCTGATACCTAGTTTCTGACACCTGCACATTGAATTGAATTTATATGTGTCATAGCACACCTTAAAGCTCATTTCCTGTTATCCGAGATATAATACTCAGAAATCTCAATTTTTCTAAACTATAAAAATTGGAATAAGAGTTGAGAGACCTGGGAAACTTTGTGCTCATCAGATAGGTACCTTGCCTCTCTGAACAGGAATGCCTTTTTCTTTGAAACAGTGGAGTTAGAGTAGATAATTTTGATAGTTTCTTCTGGTGCTAAGATGCTATAATAGAATGAAATTGCTTACATATAATGTACCTGAAATTATTTGTCAATAAACTTTACTGAATACCAGCTATGTCCAAGATGTTGCATTAAGTGCTAGGCAAAACATTGGACAAAACTAACTGCCTTCAAGAAGCTCATGATCTATTTGTGAAGGAGATAAATATAATAGCAGATAATTATTAAGTAGTACAATATATAAGTTGATTTATGAGTTTAAAAAACTGATACAGTGAAATTTTAAAAAAACAGAATATTGAGGAAATTAATGATGTCCATTAATTAAAATATTAAAGTTATTTTGTTCTTGTTTATCTTTCACATATCCTTTACTTACTAAACATGATTGACTCACATAAGTCACCGGTATATGTGAGAAAGAAATTCAGTGTTTTTTTTTTTTTTTCTTAAAACACCTGTATGATAAATAATGATTCTTCAATAAATTCTATTATCCTATTTTAAAAAAATCAACTCTAATTTCAGTGAAGCCCAGGTACTCCATTTGGGTTAATTTAAACTGGCAACATGAAAAAAGAAAATTTGGAAGGTTCTCAAATAGGATTAACAGAGGTTCATTTTGTGTCGTATTTTCTGCTTTATATGGATGCTGATATGTTCTCAGAATAAATTTATAACAGCGATAGAAAATGGAATGACTATTGATTGTTTTTTAGTTACCCAAACTAATTGTCATATAAAGCTTTGTAAATCTTTTAAAATGAGGATGGGTGTAAATTAAAAACGAATTAAAGCAGAGGCTTATAAAGACACTGTCTCCCCTTCACTGGGTTACATATTTTTGTTACATATTAGGAAGATATCTTGATCTCCTTCCCAATGAACAAAGGCCTACACACAAAAATTTATTTCATTGCTAATAGCCTGTTTATATTTTTCAAAAGTAAATACTTTCTTTTTCTGAAAAGTAAATACAACTATTTTAACAAAGAAAGATTTAAAAAAAAAACCCTCAGGAAGAAAGTACCATGCAGAGTCAACAGGGCTGATCTGTTTTCTGCAGCCTCCATCCTTACTGTTAACAAGCCTTTTGTCTTTGAAGACACTAAACATCTGGGATCTAAGTACTGACACCTATTAGTTACAGTGGTTTCCTTTTACCTTTCTAAACTGTATGATAGATAGACCTCCAGGAATCCTGCAAATTTAGACCCTTAATTGACCAAACGAATGTCTGTCTCTCTTTTTCAATCTAAATCAAAAAGGAGTTTGCTCCTAAGAGGTGAGATGATACACAGTGGAAAAAATATTTCAGCTGCAACTCCACTGGTAACTGTCAATGTGACCTTATAATCTCCCCCCAATTTATTCCCCAAATAGCTGCCAAAGTGACTTTCTAAAACCCATATCCATCTATCCTTCCTTCTTTAAAAAAAAAAAAAAATCTCTGAAAAGACGGGAGGATAAAGTCAGCATTGTCAGGTTGGATATCTGAGGCTCCTTCTCTTCCTTGCGTGTTTTCTCTCCACTCTTTCCTACACCCTTTAAACTGTAGCAATTATGAAGATGTCCCATTACACTGGCAGTGCCCGCTCTGTCATCTTAGTTTTGAAGTCCTTGTGCTTGCTGCCTGTTCTGGTTGCAAATTTGTTGTCTTAAGATGCACTTCAGTAGTACCACTGACTTCCATGTAGCCTCCAGGCCCAATCAATCCCTCTGTTCATTAACTTAGCAAACATTCATTGAGCTTTTGCCATACACTAGGAGCTGTTCTGTACACCGGGTAGTGAACAAGGCTTTTATTTTCTCTGCATCTCACCATAAAAGGTAGTGGGATAGACAGCAAGCAAGTAAGATTATTTGCAGCCATGAAGAAAATAAAACAGAATTATGAATGCATATTGTTATATGAGACTCAGCACACTGAGTTCTCCTGGAATTCAGCAGTCATGTGCTCTTTATCATTGTTCCCACATTCTTTCTGCCCCAGTTTAAACATTTAAACATGGTATGTGATACACTGACCTCACTGAATACATCTGGATGAATGAATGAATGATTAATCTCTTTAGTTATTTGTGCCATGATTTCTTCATCTAAAAAATTAAGGAATTGAAGTGAGTACTAAAGTCCCATGCCTTCTGGGATTTTAGATGTGGGTATTCTAATTTTCTGCTATTTTATTCAATTATAGCCTAATATATAAAATACATGAATATTATTTTGATATTTATTATATCGAGTACTAAGTCACAAGTAAAGTTCATAGGATCTTTAAAATACTTTTAAAATCCAAGATGGCAGCTGAAAAAGTATCAGAAGACTATTTTTGGCGATCTTGCAGAGTTGACTTTTTCAGATTTACCAGTAGTACCTATGTAACTCTTTTGGAATCTATTTGTGAAGCATTTTGAATGCTATGTGACTATATTTAAAAAAAGTGAAATGAACTAGAAATCGTAATTTATATTTGACAGAAGTATTAGAATTTAACATATTTAAAAAACATTTTGTAATCATTAAAAAACCAAATTCAATTAAAAAACTGGGAAATGTTATTTTTATAAAAATGCATTAAATCACATTTTTCATTAAAATCATTTATACATTTTGAATACAAAGAGAAAAATAGAAGGAAAAAGATAGTAAAATGGCAGCAGAAATTAATTAACTGAAAACAGAAGGAGTGTAGAGAATCCTTGGATAAAATCAGCAATAATAGACACATGTCTGGTAATTTCAATAAAAACTAGAAAATATGCAAAATCAAGAATGATAAAGGTACTATAATTATTGATATGGAGATTAAAAACTATGTAAAATTTACTTTGTGAAGCCCATTTTGGTACATTTGAAAATCTTAACAAATTGGATGAGTTTCTTAGAAAAATATAATGATAAGATATTGTCTGTGTGAGCAGAGGGGAGAGCGGCCACCGCCGCTGCCGCTTCCACCACAGAAATCAAGATGACTACCAGCTGGTGCGAAAATTAGGCCGAGGTAAATACAGTGAAGTATTTGAAGCTATCAACATCACAAATAATGAAAAAGTTGTTGTTAAAATTCTCAAGCCAGTAAAAAAGAAGAAAATTAAGCGTGAAATAAAGATTTTGGAGAATTTGAGAGGAGGTCCCAACATCATCACACTGGCAGACATTGTAAAAGACCCTGTGTCACGAACCCCCGCCTTGGTTTTTGAACACGTAAACAACACAGACTTCAAGCAATTGTACCAGACATTAACAGACTACGATATTCGATTTTACATGTATGAGATTCTGAAGGCCCTGGATTATTGTCACAGCATGGGAATTATGCATAGAGATGTGAAGCCCCATAATGTCATGATTGATCATGAGCACAGAAAGCTTCGACTAATAGACTGGGGTTTGGCTGAGTTTTATCATCCTGGCCAAGAATATAATGTCCGAGTGGCTTCCCGATACTTCAAAGGTCCTGAGCTACTTGTAGACTATCAGATGTATGATTATAGCTTGGATATGTGGAGTTTGGGTTGTATGCTGGCAAGTATGATCTTTCGGAAGGAGCCATTTTTCCATGGACATGACAATTATGATCAGTTGGTGAGGATAGCCAAAGTTCTGGGGACAGAAGATTTATATGACTATATTGACAAATACAACATTGAATTAGACCCACGTTTCAATGATATCTTGGGCAGACACTCTCGAAAGCGATGGGAACGCTTTGTCCACAGTGAAAATCAGCATCTTGTCAGCCCTGAGGCCTTGGATTTCCTGGACAAACTGCTGCGATATGACCACCAGTCACGGCTTACTGCAAGAGAGGCCATGGAGCACCCCTATTTCTACACTGTTGTGAAGGACCAGGCTCGAATGGGTTCGTCTAGCATGGCAGGGGGCAGCACGCCTGTCAGCAGCGCCAATATGATGTCAGGGATTTCTTCAGTGCCAACCCCTTCACCCCTTGGACCTCTGGCAGGCTCACCAGTGATTGCTGCTGCCAACACCCTTGGGATGCCTGTTCCAGCTGCCGCTGGCGCTCAGCAGTAACAGCTCTGTCTCCTGATGCCTGAGCAGAGGTGGGGGAGTCCACCCTCCTTGATGCAGCTTGCGCCTGGCGGGGAGGGGTGAAACACTTCAGAAGCACCGTGTCTGAACCGTTGCTTGTGGATTTATAGTAGTTCAGTCATAAAAAAAAAATTATAATAAAAAAAAAAAAATATAATGATAAAAATTCACTTAAAGATTGAGTTAATAAATATGGAAAAATAGAAAATAAAGTAATGAAGAATTATCCCTTAAAAGGCTCTTGCCCTGCATGGTTTTATAGGCAGATTACTTGAAAATTCAAAGGTGAAGTTAATTCTCATATTAACTTTTTTAAAGCCCAGAAAATTAAAATTGTAGGAAAAACAAAGCCCTGCTAACTTACTGTTATGAAGTTACATAACCACAATATCAAAACTTAACAAAAATAACAAACTACTGCATGATTTCACTTATATGTGGAATCTTAAAACCTTAGGCTGTAAGAAGCAGAGAGAAGAATGGTGATTACCGAGGCTGGGGTTAGGAGTGGGAGAGCTGGGGAGATGTGCGTCAAAAGATACAGGATGTCAGTCAGATAAGAGGAATAATTTCAAGTTTATTGTATAATATGATGACTTGTGGTTTTGAAATTACTAAGAGTGCATTTTAAATGTTCTCACTGTAAAAACTGACCAGTACGTCAAATAGGCTTATGTTGATTAACTTGATTTAGCCATTCTAGCATATATAAATATTTCAAAGCATCTTGTTTTGCATGACAAATACATGCAATTTGTATTTGTCAATTAAAGTAAATAAACAAAATAGCAAATAAATAAACAAACCACAGAGATACAAAACTCTGAAATAAAACAGTTCAATGTCATCAATATATAAATATAACGTATATTATTATGAAGACAAGCTTATTCTAGGTATGTATAATTTAATACAGATAATTGTCTTATGTAATTATTTGGTCAAAGAATAAAACTGTATGCTCACCTCAACAAATCTTCGAAAGGATGTTTGATGCCATTTAAAATATATTATTGTTAAATTCTTTTTTATGAGTTAAAGAAAATCAATAGATAACATTTCTCTGTAAAATGAGAACCTAGGAGCAATTTTATTAAATGAGAAACAAGCTGCAGATGGCTACTATCAGAAACTTTGTTTAGGTGTATTTCAGGAAATAAAGTAAGGCATGAAGTTTAGTGAACTGTAAAGAAAGAGACAAAAATTATTTTTGTTTATATAAAAGCTGACTACATGGAAATCCTAAGAAAATCTACAACAATAACAGTATCACCAAGGCATCACTTGAACTAATAATAAAAATGTTTAGATATTTGACTTTATATCAATTAAATATTTAAAAATCAATACTTTCAGTTTTATAAGATGAAAAGTTATGGAGATAGTTGGTAGTGATGATTGTACAACATTATGAATATATATTTACTGCTACTGAACAGTACATTTAAAAATGATTAAGATGGTAAACTTTATATGTGTATATTATCACAAAAAAGTTGGAAAAAATCAATAATTTCTACACAACAGAAAAGCAGATAAAAAATATAAAGAAAAATAAAATGTATCTTTGAATACGGCAATGGACTTTAAGTAGAATGTCATAATTTCTATAAAAAAAATTACAACACGTAGTAGATGACCTGTCTTTTCATCTTTATAATTGTTGACATGCTATTATTTCACAAATATTATAAATATATCAATTCTTTCCAAGTTAATTTACAAATATTATGCCTCTTCCAACCAAATTTATGAATAATAATTTCTAGAACTTTTCATAATTATTCTAAAGTAAATTAATGATTTGGAATAATAAAATAAAACGATAACTAACACTCACATAGTACTTAACATGTCATAGGCAACCTCCTATGCTTTAGGTATATTAACTCACTCATTCCTCACCAAAATTCTATGAGATAGAATCAGTTGTCCTGTCCCTCAGTATCCTTCCTTGGAAGATTGATTCCAGAACTTCTCACCCCCAGTCCAAAATCTGTAGGAACTCAAATTCCTTATAAAAAATGGTGTCATATTTGCATAAAACATATGTACATCCTTCCATATACTTTAAAACATCTCTAGATTACTTATGATACCTAATACAATGTTAATCTTTTATAAATTGTCATTAAATTGTAGTTTATTAATATTATTTTTATTGCGTTTTTTTCCTAAGTATTTTCAGTTGCAGTTGTCAGAATCTGTGGATGTGGAACTACTGATATGCAGAGGCAACTGTACTCTCATTAATCCCTATTTACAGTTAAGGAAAGTGAGCATTCTATGATTTGCCCAAAATTACGTAACCAATAAATGTCTATATATTGAAGCCAGTATGAACACAGGCATTCTTGGCTCCAGAGTTCATATTTTTAACCTCATTATTCTATACTTCCTTACAAAATAACAACAGCAAAAATAAATATATTGTTGGTAGTAGTAGTAGTATTAATATATGTAATAGCACTATAGAAGGCATAAAAATCTATAGATAGGACATTGAGAAAGAAATATAGCTCATCTATTAACTGTGGTGTTTAAGAATGAATGATTTGATACAGGTGGCATTACAAATGAATAAGAAAAAATTATTGAAATTGAGCAAGTTATTCAAGGATTGTTCAGTGATCATTTGAAATGTTAGTTCCCTATTTTATAGCGAATACATTTCAAATAAAATAGGAATTAAAAAATAAAGTATGGCTAAGTATTGGCTTTCCTGAAATGAAAATATTTCCAAAGTATTAAATTTTTAATTTAGAAAAATGTCCTAATGGAAAAAAATACACATTCATAAAACTAGCAAATCCTTCGGAATAAAAATAAAATACTTGAATATTAATATAGAGTTTGAAATCCCATAATAAGAAAAGCAGTAAAAGATGAATAGGCAGTTTACAAAATATAGATGGATAATAGCAATGTTTAAAATTTAAATTTTACTATCAAAAAATTAAGTAAATTTACCAAGTTAAGAATTAAATTAAATATTTAGCACTCTAGAGCATAGTATAGCGTTTCAAGTATGAAATTCAGAGCCAATCTTCCATCAGTTTATTCACTGCATCAACTTAGGCCAATTTTTAATATTTTCCTACTCATTGATCTCCGAACATGCAGAATAAATAAAGCCATCTCCCTGCTTCAGTTCTCAGTGCTACCACATACTCTCTTCAAAGGCAGCATCTACCTGTTCTTGGTTCTAATCCCATCTAATTTGAGGTATGTGAAAGAACGTTGCACTATTCATTTGAAGATCTGACTGTAAATCCTAGCCCTCTGCTTACTACTTAAGTATTCTGACCAGATCACATCACTTTCTTGTTTAGAATAGATGACATTGAATTGGACTAGATTAGATCAATGATTTATAAACACATTTCTGAAGATCCCAGGTATTTATTGGTAATGACTTGATGGCTCCTGCGAAGGGTAGGAGTGGACTCAAGGAGAAATCCTAGAAAAGGAATTCCAGCCCTCAACACTTGTTTTGATCTGCCAGTGATGAATTATAATAACAATTGTTGCTATTACCAGGGTTGTCAAGAGGAAGCATAGTATGGCATCACATGTGTAAAAGTTGATTCAAAGTCCATCTCTTCCTGTAAACTCTTCACAAGTTGCGGTCTTTAACTAAATCACATAAGTGGTAAGATCTTGTTTCACAAGAAGGTATTATTCACATCTTCCCTGTGGTACCTTCCACCAGGCTTTGTGTGGCTAAAGCGCTATAAAATAAGAAAGAGGAGTAGATTAATATACATTCCTTTGACCTGGCTTCATTTTCCTTTCACTTCTTACTTCTTTCCTGCTTTTGCTAAACAAGCTAACAAACACAAGCAAAAAGTCTGCCAATTTATTGTTTCTAAAGGAGTTACTCTTTGTTACTGTTTCTTTTCAAGAGCCATGTTACTCAGCTTCATTCTTGCTTTACAAAATTTCCCACTGCTTATTGCTAATGTTTGATTCTCCTGTCTCTGACAGACCACTACCACCGCCACATCATTTGTCCTTTACTTAGACACTAGGTTAAAGTTCAGGAATGAGAGCTTTGATTTTTTTGAAATTTCTATTGTGAGAACTCATTACTATTGATTTCAGTTCTCTGAAAAGTGATGCTAATAGATATGTTTCAGAATTGAGATGTGATCTAGTTGTTACACAGTTAATTAAGGTAGCATGATTATAATGTAAATTGTAAAATGTTGCCAAACTGCATATTTGTAAATTAATGATCCATGGTGCCCAACTGTATCCTTAAAATGTATGAATACTTTATTTGATTTTTCTAATAATGTTATCTTGAGACTCAAGCTGAATTCACAACTGTTTTTAATGTGGTGCCCCTCACAAGGTTTCTCTTTTGCTAGATTTCCTACAGATCTAGGTGCCTCTAGGCTGACTGTCAGTCCAGGTGATTGTGTAGGTTGTGTGGAGGCTCATGATCTCCTGCATATCTTAACAGTACGGTTGCTCCTGGAGCAGAATGATTGGCATACAGCAATTCCTCAATGACTACAACTAGGACCTCTGAATGCATTTACCATCTGTTGAACAGAGATAGTATTTCAGGACATCGGAATGTATTTAATAACTTCTTCAAGATTCTTTCTTGATTTCCCATGGTAATCACTGAAAATATTGAATAAAATTGGTCCCTAGAAAGGGATCCATCAATCCTACAAGAACAAGCCATGCTATCCTCTGAAATGGACATCCTGTAGAAGCTTATGATACTTATTTAGGAGTTTATTAATCTTATTTTAACATGAATATGAGGGTCATCAAATATTTTTCTCGCTTATTTCAATGGCTAAGTAATCAAAGAATGCTTTGTACTATAATAGTGGTTAACTGATGATTTCTAAAATCCTATTTTGTTAAAAATATATTAGCAACAACTGCAAATATGTCAGTTTAAGCAAAGACCACAGGAACTTACTGGGGCTTTTTTCTGCTTCCTTTTTGAAACATTAAATACTAAAGAAAAGCACATGTTGGAATATTAGTAAGTGCTACATATTCTAGCTGAAGCATCCCAGCAGATAGAGAAATTTATCAAAGTCTTTTTGACTGATCTCAACAGATTTTGGCAAATTTGAGGCACCGAGCAAGATTTTTACTTTAAAACTGTGTACCATCATTGTCC